AAGTAGTTGTATGTATTAGTTTAAGTTGTTCTTCAAACATAGTATGAGTTGTATATAAGTAGTTGTATGTATTAGTTTAAGTTGTTCTTCAAACATAAAATCTTTATATTTTCACCACGGAATAAACTTTCAGGCATGTTTTAATAATTTTGAATATTGTTTGGGAATAACTCTCCTGTTTGTTTTAAGTTTTATTGCTTATAAATAAAATTTTAAATGAGGAAAGGAGGTTAGTCCAACCCTAGACATTTAGTAAGCTGATGAGTATCAGATGTAAGCATGGTATCAGGTAGAATTCCTTGTTATTATTGTCAAATAACCATTTGCAAGTAAAATCAAGGAGAAATCACATATAAAATCGCTCTTTAATTCAGAAAAGAAATCTTTTGTAGTTGTTAGCTTATCTCTCCAGTGCCATCTGTTTTAAATATTTTAGAAGTAAGTTTTTTGTTTACTTGGACTAACACAATCAAAGCTTGATATAACAACTCCTGAAGTCCAAACAAAATGGGATGTTATAACATGAGATTGTTATATCATAAGTAAGCTAAACTATTGTAAATATTTACTTGTAAATACTGGAGTCACTTTGACAAAATTATGCTACCCTTGAAAAAGAATTATAAAACAGAGAGAATAATTCACAGCAATGTCAAAAAAGATTTAAATATAAAATTACAATTTTTCCTGTCAATAAAGTACAAGTACTCTTTAATGCAATTCATTAAAGGTTTTAAAAAAAATTCCCAGATTTTGACATTTTCACCTTGTTCTTCTGCCTTTAGAATTACATTACAATTTTTAATTACAGCAAACAAAGTGCTTTTTGGGGATCTTGAATCATTGATATATATACAGTAGAGAACCAATTATCCGGGATGCTCGGGACCATCGCTATCCCGGATATCTGAATTTCCCGGTTTTCTGGATCGACCAAAAAGTGTCGTTAATCGATGTTTTATCGAACCCGAAGTACAAGGAAAAAGTGTAATGCATAAAGTAAGAGAAAAAAGAAAGGTACTCCTAACTTTAAAAAGAAAAAAAAATGGTAGAAATATAACATTTAAAAGAACAAAAAAATTTGCAAGTTTAGACAAGAAAATCAAGTTTAAAAAATACAAAATTCTCATATTTATTTTTTAAAAATAATTACAATTCCTAAATTAAATAATATAAACAAAACCAATGATTAAATAACGCAATATATTTCATACCTAATTATACTGGGGGGGGGAACGATAAAATAAAAAGAAAACTTATTAATCTAAATAAAAACACTTGAAAATTATCGAACCGAAACGA